ACGCATAGAGTTGGGAAGGCTAGTTCATGTAAATTGCTTAGAACAGTACTTGACGCAGTGCTTGGAACATGTTAGCTATTAGTATTTATTGGTATCCTCCTTTGCAAAGTCTGGTGGTGAAGGGAAGAAAACTGAGTTGGAAGCATTCAGAAAATACCATTTTAAGAGTAAGCAGAGAGGGAAGTAACGACAGCAACTAAATGAGTGCTGACTGCTGTGTTCTTGATAGGACTGGTCCATCCAATGTTTCCAGGTAGGTGTTATGATGGCTCCCATTGTGCAGATGAGAAAATAAAGGCACAGAGAATTTCGTACCTCAAGCAAGACTGCCCAGTTGGCAAGTGGGGCGGTGGATTCACACCCATCAGTCTGATGCCAGCAGCCACTCCCTCAACCATTGCACAGTTCTGCCATTTGATGTGGGGAAGAAAGGGAAAAGGTTAACGGTGTGAGAGAAAGGAGGTGGATTGTGGAGTCAGGGCTCGGCTGGGAAGGCATCTGAGAGCGAGCGGGGAGGAGATGCCGGGTTGGGCTGGAGAATCCTCCTTTCTGCCTTTCTGAAGCAGATGAGAAGGCAGGAAGGAATATGCAGACACATGAGGCCAGAGAAGGGAAATGGCTTACTGTTAAGTGGTTTGGGGAAGTGTGGAGATCGCCTGGGAGGAGGGGCAGAGTGCAAGATCAAGTGCAAAGGCCTGGGGGAGGCAGGGAATGAGGCTGAATCAGGCGGTGGAAAGAACAGATGGATGATCAGAGTGGCGGGATGGGAGTGTCAGTCCCAGGAGCAGGGAAGGAGAGGAATGAAGTCACAGATCAGGAGGAGGGCCCTGATCCTGTAGGGAGGCCTGAGGGCCATCTTTAGCACTTGGGCTTTTACTCTGAGTGAGTGGGGAGCTACTGATGGACTTTGTGCAGAGGAGGGATAAGATGTGACTTGCTCTAAAAAGATCACTGGCTGCCTCTGTGTGTATGCAGTGTGCACGTGCATAAACATTTACAAGGGCAGAAGCAGGAGGCTCAGGCTGGAAACTACTGCAACCATCCAATCCGGAGGGGGGCATGGTGTTTCACTGAGCTCTAGTGCGTGTGGAGCACAATGTTAGATGCTGAGAGAGAGCACAACGGTGACGAATTCTGACAAGGCCTTTGTCTTGAACTCTCAGTGTAGTTCAGTGTTCTCAATCTGAGCAGTAGTGACACTTGGGGCTGACTAGTTCTTTGTCGTGGGTGGTGGTGGGGCATCCTGTGCATGGTAGGGTGTTTAGCAGCATCCCTGGTCTCTACCCTCTAGATACCAGTAGCATACCCTTCCTCCAGAGATGGCAACTAGAACCGTCTCCAGACATTGCCACTGGTCTAGTGGGAGAGAGAAACAGAGCACATAAATATGTGCTCTTCTTTCCATAGTAACTGCTAGGGAGTAAAGAGAGCGGGGACGTGGAGGACCAAATCATCTCTCTTCATTTTCATTTTGTTCCTGCATCCCTTACATTTCTCCCCACCCACACTGTGGCCATCTGCCTGATGGTCCTGTACCATCCCCCCATCCCTTCCCTTCTCCCTCCATTTGCCTAATCCTGCCAGCCCCTCCTAGAAAGAAGCAAAAAAAAAAGGCCTTCCAGGGGACACCTCCTCTCCTCTCCAAGGTAGGGAGCCCTAATTGCCTCTTTGTGGCTGTAACATGACTCCTTGTTCTGAAGGTGAGCCCTGCTGTCACCCTGCCTGCAGCTGGCCTCAGTTCCAATTGGTCAAAAAGGAACAAAACAAAACAAGACATTTAAAACACATCCCGGACTCAGTCCGCATAAGGGACTGAGAGGCCTGCTGCTAGTTTGAGGCAGATAACTTCAAGCGTGCTCATGTTCATAGTCAGCCAGCTATCTCGGGATGCAGCTTGCCGAGGCCGCTCCTCCTGCCGCTGCCTGGCTGCAGGCCAGCAGGAATAGAGAGCCATTTCAGGGGGGCCAGGCGTCCACTAGTTAGGGTGCCTGGGGAAGGGAGCTGGGGCCAGCCCTTCCTCTCCTGGGAGGCCAGCTTTATCACTGAGACTCTGCCTGGCTTCCTATAGCCTGGTTTTGTCCCCCGATTCTCTCCGTCCCCTGGGAATATTAAGAGAGACAGGCGTAATCTATTTTTATTAGCTCATTGCTTATTAATATCACCACAGAACCTGCTTGTTTAGGCCTGTGCTGACTTTTCTATCCAGAGGCACAATGGTTGTATTTTTTCCATCCTTTTACTTTAAGCCAAGGATTCCCCACCATGGCACAATGGGGGGGTGGGGGGGGTGGATCACATAATTCCGTGTTGTGGGACTGTCCTGTGCACTGTAGGATGTTTAGCAGCATCTCTGGCCGCTCCCTACTAGATGCCAGTAGTGACAACCCTCAAATCTACAGACATTGCTACATACCCCTGGGGGGCAAAACCACTGCTGGTTGAGAACTACTGACTTCAAGAAATATAAAAGCCTGATTTTAGAGATGGCAAAGCGATCCCCTTGACATCTTGCTGAAGATTTATAGGGAGAGAGGAGGTTTCTCTGGTCCTTTGGTTAGTCTGATCTAAAATTCTCCCAACTGCATCATTCAGGACTTAAAACTCACTGTCAAAGGAGTCAATCTCCTAAAGAAAATACTGATCATGCTTCTCTTTTCTTTCTTTAGAGGCAAGAGAAGGAACAGGGTTTATCGATGTGGAGTCCTAACTGGGTTGGAAGTCTGATCTCTGGCCCTTGCCAGCCGTGTGACCTTGGGCAGCTCACTTCACGTCTTTGGGCTGAGTTCCATGTCCGTCACCATGCTCCCTGTCTCCAGGAGTCAGTCTGTGTAAAGTGTTGACTTAGCACAGGGCCTGGCCCACTGTGAGCATTTGGTAGCTGCCAGGACCATTCTGTGCAGGGAGGGTTTGAGAAGGGCCACTGAATGATCTCTAGATGCAGACCAGCAACATTGGGCTGGCCTCTTACCAGCCATATTCCATCAAGCCCAGGAATGGCCCTTAGTGGGCCTGCCCTGGCCTTCCTTTTCGATCCCTCACTCTCCCAGGATTCCATCTGCTACCACCATACCTTTGTCTCTGTCCCCAGCCCAACTGCCGTTTTCCAGATAACCTCAGACCTACCCGAATGCCAACAGCATTCCTCAAACAGAGCAGAGCTGCCAAAATAAGCCTGCAGCTTCCTGCTCTTTGCCCCAGAAAACATTTCAAGTGATCAAGTGATCAGAGAGAGGAGGGGAGGAAGGGGGGGATGCTGCAGCTGTTTATGCAACAAGCTTTAATCCCTGGGTAAAATCCACCACGCAGCACCAGTGGCATATTTCATTTCCTCATTGGGTCGAGAAGTTAGCTGCACATAAGATCCACCACAAACTCACAGTCACATTTGTGTCCCCTTTCCCCCCAAAAAAGTAGCACCCGCAGAGACAAACAGAATTCCTCATGGGATGGTGGTGGAGGAAGCAGAGTCCAATTAGCTTTGGCCTACGACTGTCACCCATTTGGTCTCCCTGTATGACTGAGCAAGCTTCCACCCCCAGGAAGAAGAGGCCCCTCCCTTCTGGTGAGGCCCAGGCCTGTTGTCCTGAGTGTTGGCCCTCCCTGTGTCTTGGCTTCTTTAGCCTAAAATACAACAACAGCAACAAAATCCCCTCCCTTTTCATAAAGCCTGGGCCCTGTCCCTGCAGTACAGTGTGTGTGGATTCCTGGCTTGTTCCCGTTTGATAGAAGATTCCTCGGCAGGAAGAATTGAATTGACGTACACTCGGTGGGCATCTGTTGTCCATGTGGGGGTGGGGGTGGGGAGAGCAGGCCATCAGCTCTGTTTTCTTTGTGGGAACCAGTGCTGTGGGACAGGAAAGAAAGCCCACGAATCCTAATTTTAGGAGAGTCAGGACACTTTATTGGGCCATAGTTTTACCTCCTGGAATATGGCTGTGTTACCTCTGGAAGCTTTCTGCAGCCTCTAAAGAATGGTGTTTATTTAGCTTCTGTTGTTCCAGCTTGTTGTTTTTTAAAAAAATCTTGTTAATTAAGCACCTTGTCTTAAAAGAAAAAGGAGAGCAAGCATGGACATTTTGAGATCCTTTTGGGTTTGCATCTTCTCAGGGTACAGGCCAACTACAAAGGCAGCTTTCAGGAGCAAACAGGCAAAGACCACCTAATTCTATTGAAATGGGTGGAATTATAAGCAGCTCCGAAAAACTAGTTAATATTTTACTGGGGAGCAGTGCCAGAGTTTGGGGGGGGGGGG